GGGTGGTACGTGAGGACGAGGGGGATTCTTTTTTGGTTCTTATTGCGGGGACGGGGTGTGAGGGATGAGGTGCGGGAGATTTGGGAGACACGGTTGAGGGCGTTCTCGACCACCGAGGAGGGGAAGTTACGGTCCTTGAAAAACGAGGACAACTGAGATGTACGGGAGTGGAATGCCTCATCCTGGGAGCAGATGCGGCGGAGGCGAAGGAATTGGGAATAGGGGATAGCATTTTTGCAGGAAGGTGGGTGGGAGGAGGAGTATTCTAGGTAGCTGTGGGAGTCGGTGGGCTTGAAATGAATATCGGTTTCTAGGTGGTTGCCCGATATGGAGACAGAGAGGTCCAGGAAGGGGAGAGAGGTGTTAGAGATGGTCCAGGTAAACTTAAGGTTGGGGTGGAAGGTGTTAGTGAAGTGTATGAACTGTTCGAGCTCCTCGTGGGAGCACGAGGCGGCACCGATACAGTCATCAATGTAACGGAGGAAGAGGTGGGGTTTAGGGCCGGTGTAGGTACGGAAGAGGGATTGTTCCACGTAACCTACAAAGAGGCAGGCATAGCTTGGGCCCATGCGGGTACCCATGGCCACCCCCTTTGTCTGTAGGAAGTGGGAGGAATTGAAAGAGAAGTTGTTGAGTGTGAGGACGAGTTCGGCTAAGCGGATGAGGGTATCAGTGGAGGGGGACTGGTCGGGCCTGCGGGACAGGAAGAAGCGGAGGGCCTTAAGGCCATCTGCATGGGGAATGCAGGTGTAGAGGGACTGGACGTCCATGGTAAAGATGAGGTGTTGGGGACCGGGGAACTGGAAGTTCTGGAGGAGGTGGAGGGCGTGGGTGGTGTCACGGACATAGGTAGGGAGTTCCTGGACCAAGGGGGAGAAAATGGAGTCTAGATAGTTGGAGATCAGTTCGGTGGGGCAGGAGCAGGCGGAGACAATGGGTCGACCATGGCATTCAGGTTTGTGGATTTTGGGAAGGAGATAGAAGCGGGCAGTGCGAGGTTGGGGAACGATGAGGTTGGAGGCCATGGGTGGGAGGTCACCTGAGGTGATGAGGTTGTGGATGGTTTGGGAGATGATGGTTTGGTGCTCAGGGGTGGGGTCATGATCAAGGGGGCGGTAGGAGGAGGTGTCGGAGAGTTGGCGTCCGGCCTCGGCGATGTAGAGGTCAGTGCGCCATACTACAACTGCGCCTCCCTTGTCCGCGGGTTTTATGGTGAAGTTGGGATTGGAGCGGAGGGAGCGGAGGGCTGCACGTTCTGCGGGGGAGAGGTTGGATTGCTGTAGGTCTGGAGTCACATGTGGGCCAGACCAATAAAGGATGGCAGTTTCCTTCCCTAAAGGGAACCCGGGTACCCAGAACTCTATTTAGGTCTCTGGATTAAGAGTCCAGCAAAAATACCACTAGGCCATTGCCTCCCATCAAAATCAGAAATTGCCGGAAGAACTCAGGTCTGGCAGCATTTATGGAGACAAAGGAGTTAATGTTTCAGGTCCAGTGACCTTTCTTCAAATTTTGTTGCTGATTTCCAGCATCTGCAGTTCTTTAGGATTTTAGTTGTGATGCTCTCAGGGTGAACTCTTACTGACAATCACTGTCAAGGTTGGACAAGGCACCAGAGCATGACCGTGTAGTCAGGTATTGTGTCAATACTTGCAAGAGAAAAGAAAATAAAACTAACTGACCTTGTGCCTAAGTAACATCTGCAGTTTTTATGGAATCATAACAAAGAGATCCGTAAATCAAAGTCAGAAGTCACATGGCATCAGGTTAAAGTCCAACAGATTTCTTTGAAATCACAGGCTTTAGAAACGCTGCTCCTTCATCAGGTGGTGGAGGGAAGCTCTTCATTCAGATACAAGGAACAGCCATGGGGATCAAAATTTGCACCACAATACTCCAACATTTTCATTCACAAGTTCGAGCAAGACTTCTTTGCTACACAGCTATTCAGTTGTTGACACTTTACTCACACCGTTTGAGACTTTTGATCACCTGCAAAGACTTCTTATTCAGTCTGTTGGCACTCCACTCACAACATTTGTACTATCTTTTGACACACTTAGTTACCTGGAATTATCTTGCAATTATGTTTCTGCCTATAAATTCAGTGCCTGTGCACTTCCCTCCACTTGACCTGATGAAGGAGCAGTGCTCCAAAAACTTGTGATTTCAAATAAACCTGTTGGGCTATAACTTGGTGTTGTATGACTTCTAATTTTATCCACCCCAGTCCAACACCAGCACCTCCACATCATCAGTAAATCAATTAAAATGTTTTCAGCAACATACAGAGTAAAACTGCAAAAGGCCTACTGTATCACACTGACCCATGTCCACGTGAGCTACAACAGCAAGTAAAAGAGTATACAATCATTGCACACGATTTGTGGCTGCTGAAAGCAGTGAATAAGCTTGCTGTAGTCAGCAACAAGCCAGAGTGTTTGTTCACATACTAATTCCAACAGCTGCACACAAATTGAGACCAGTTCATGACAAAGTGGTAGCGTCCCAACTCTGAGCCAGAAAGTCCAAGTTCAAGTCCCAGCCGCTTCAGAAGTGTGTCAAACCATGTTTGACTGGGTTGACTAAAAATATCTACATAAGTTTAAGTCTCCAACTCAAACGGTCACAAATAGGAGGTGATTTTGTATATTTTGGATCTGGGTGACAGATTTATAGTGCATAATTTGAAAACATACACTTGTTTTGAAAAGTTTGAATCTTTTTTGTGTGAACTAACATTTCAAAAGTAAGCAATAGATGAGCTCCAGGTCTTATTAAAATATCCTACTGAGCTTTGACAGTAACAGAACAGCAGTTTTTCATCTGAGTCACTTCCTCAACATGATGTTTTGGGCAAACATTGTGTCAGAAGTTACTTTGTGCCTCATTTAGTACAGCAATACTTGCTTATTCTGCTGCTGGTTGCTACCACCATCCTCTAAATGCAGAAAACTTTAGGGCCTGCTTGGTCTAGTGAGGGAAACAGAAACACTTCCTGGTGTATCCATAAAAGACTCTTGTAGTTAACAACATATAAATTATTTCACATTAGCAACTAGCTATTGGTGATATCAACTTGATAGCCAAAACAAGTAAGATTCAGTCCACAGTCTAAGTGTCAGTTACGTCAGGTTATTTTTGCTGTGAACCCTGTGGGTTTTCTGACTATATTTTACCAAACACGGGACATTAACTAGTTCCCAGACCCCTCACATCCAATCCTAGACGCACCTTACCATGCGCCATTTCCAAAACAACTTGCCACTCAATCTGAAATTGATCAGCATCCCTGTTGCTGGTGCCATCTTTAAAAGTCCTTCATATACCCGGATGACCACTTCCAGCCTAGGGACGTTTGCCACATGCATGTCACACTGCTTTGTGGGCAAGGGCTTGGCTGAGCTGCTGGACAAGGGGAGGTGTCCTCTCCCCCAAGGATCTGCAGTGGAAACTACAATCTAAGACCATAGCAGCCTGGAGAGAAGCAGACAGCCAGTCAGGATAATTCCAGTTGTCTGGAGGACTGTACTGCACTGCAGAAAA